GGATTGGCTCCACTCGGGAGGAGGCCGTGTTTTAAGAATGGGAGGGGGCAAGAACTGGGGCCCGAGCGTGGGCAGCCCCCGAAGCCTGCGGGGCGGGGAGGGGGAAGGCGGGCAGCCTCAGGTGAGGCCGGGAACGCGGGTGGCAGCGAGAGCGGCAGCGAGTAGTTTTGCTGGGTGTCCAGGCTCGTGTCATGCTGATACATTGTGGTCTGGATTTCCTAGGGAGGTCAATACTTAGTCTCAAATTAAGCTTTAATGATACTTCAATGAAGATTTTAGTATGACTGAATGTACTAAAGCTGCTAAGTATTACTAAATATTGGAAGCAGAACCGCATAGCTGCTGAGGTTGGAAGGGGCCTCTCGAAGTCTTCTTGTCCAACCCCCCTGCTAAAGCAGGGCCGCCCAGAGCTGGTTGCCCAGGACAATGTCCAGGTGCCCTCTGAGTATGCCGAGGATGGAGACTCCACAACCTCCCTGGGCAACTTGTGCCAGTGTTCAGTCACCCTCACATTAAAAAAGTAGAAAAAAAAAAAACCAAACAAGACAAAAACTAAAAAAAAAACCAACCTAAAACCAAAACACCCCACACCCTTCTGAAAAGGGGACCTTAGTAGAAAAGATGTTGCTTAAAATGTGCTCACTATTGTCTATTGTACAAGTTCTTGATAAGAACCGAGAAGTTGCGTTGAGAACCAGCTAAAACCGACCCTGTAGTTTGGACAAGAGCCAAGGAGCAACTGAGTCTGCACAAGAACAAGGGGTTACTAGCGGTGACGAAGAGGAGTCATCGGCCTTCATCCCCCACGACCACCACCAGGAGACACTGAGCAAGCGCAGTTGGGCGGAGTTTATGGAAACGACTTCTTGGGGCTAATTTTAATATGAAGTGAGGACAAGTCATACATATGTATAGGCATATTTGGGAATCTTATGAATATGTAACACTTCATTGTATAACTTCAAGGCAAGCTACCACACGCGCGTGCACGACTTTGGTGGGAATACCCCCCGTGTTGCCCAGCGCTGAATAAACATACCTACTTTACAATCTTACAGATTGTGGAGTCCATTTTCCGCACATCACTTCAGTTGTGTTGAAAATTTGCTAAATGACTGAGGGTTTAAATTTACCTTTTAGGCACAGTCATGTATTCCTATTGTAACGAGCTAGATGGTGAGCATTTACTCGCGTGCCCTTACAGATGCAGATTACTGCCTGTGCCTGGCCGTTGTGATCAGGAGGGTAACTCAACAGGAAAAACTTCACACTGCTGTCTTCTGACACTTCCCCACTATCTCTATGTACACATGAAGCAAGACCACAGGGTTTTACAGAAGAAGAGTGTGAGTACATGTTTGCCTTTTCCCCTGTCCTGTGGGGGATTTTTTTAGGCACAGCTTGTCATTGTTCACGTTGCCTGTGGGTACAAATGGATGCATGGAAAAATCCGCCTTTCTGGAGACTGCATCTTTAAATTTCAATATCTACGATGACGTATGTTGGAGAGGTAGGGGGTCATCTATACATGGGATTATCTTGCTCTGATTTTGAAGTGTCCAATGGAGGCAGTGACTTCACCACAAGAAAACTGGGTCTCTATATTTAATACTTTACACTCAAATACTAAAGCTTATCTTTAGCGGGACTGCAGGATGAGCTAAGTGGGGAAAAAAGGCTGTAGCTTTGGTGCAGTACCATTCTAGAGCAACTTTCATGATTTGGCGCACCTCGAGGGCTTCACCTTGGCCTTAAGTTATACCGAGGTAGCAGATGGGCCTTTCCCTTAGGAATCCTGCTTCTCGCACAGGGCCCTGATTGCCAATCCCGAATCAATTCCCATTTATCTAACAGTGAAGGTAATAATAACTTCCAAACTAATTTTCATAGAGGTGCTGAAACACCCAAAGTTTAAGTAAACTCTGCTGTCTACATGTACCAGAAACCGAACATATCAGTTCGTGCATGTTTTATTCTAGTAAACGTCCTTTGTGGTCTTTTGGTTCATTTAATAAAAAAATCACAAAACTTCAAAAGGGAAACAATAAGCAAGTTTAATTTTTTTTTTTGCCTGATATGTGCTTGCACCATACAGTCATTTATGTAAGTTAAAAAAAAAAACAGTAAGCATGGTACTTTTCAAATCATTTTTATTAACAACAATATGGATTCAACTTTGTCAAGAAGTTACAATTAACATTGTAATGTACTGGCTGATGTCGTTGCAGTGTCAGTGGAAGCAGCCTTCATGCTTTCTAAGCCAGTTACGAAACTGGCTTTTTATCTTTCAAAGAAGTAAAAAGTGCTTCCAATCGCAGATGATATTGGATATGTCTGGAATTGTCCTATAGGTGGCCACAGCTGAATGAATGGCCACATTTGCACCCAGATGAATGAACAGGAAAATATTACATGCTTCCACTGACGCTGCAGGGGACAGTTCTTATTTCAAAAACCAATTAACCTTTTTAGACAGTGACAGCACTTTGTGTGATGTTGTAATCCATTTGAATTAAGTCGATTAACACACTTGAAAAAAAATGTGAAGCAGAAATATCTGGGGCAAATTCTTTTCTGACCTGTATTTCATTCAAACCTAATTAATCCAAAAGGATTGCATGACATATGAGTCAGGATAAAAGTTGGCCCAGAGAAGCAAGTTCATTCCTGGTATAGGTGGGTCCAGTTCCTTTAAGGTCAGTGGAACTGAGCCTGATTATCCCAATGGAGGCTGAACTTCACCCAGTTGGGCAGTGAATTCATTGAAGTCAGTGAAGCCATCCAAGGATGAATTTAGCCTCAGGTGTTTAAACCCCTTTTTTCGCTCCTTTGTTGTTACATTTTCTTTTCCTGCTTACTCCTCTTTTCTGATTATTCTCCTTTCCTCTGTGCTTTTAAAAAATGTCCCTTCTCTTCTTCCTGTTTTACATCAATACTTTGTGCGTTATTTTTTATATAGTCAATGTGACATGGGTAAATTCAGCTAAGTATTAGTTTCCTCAGGAAATAACTGGAATATTACCATTTTCACTTTAAACAGATGCCCAACAAAATAAGGATTTGAATCTGAGCTCCCAATTCAAGAAAAATTCTTGAATTCCATAGAACGACTGAATTCCATAGAATTTTTGCTTGAGGAAGGATTGCAGGTCCCAATCCAGAAATACTACTGTACATCAGATGTTCTACTATACATCAGCAATTCAGTATGATTTGACTTATCACAGAAGAGCAGGTGAATTACTCATCACCGTACTGTAACGAGAGCAGTCACTCTAAGTAGGATTATCTCAAAAACATATGGAACAACCGTGGGCACTGTGGATAAAAGTGTATGATCTTTGCAATCTTGAACCCTAGGCTAAAACACTATATTCATTTTTAAATAAAAAGTATAGATCATGTAAGCCAGGAGCAAATACAAATTTTTAAACAAATAATAATAATCATCAAAACTATTCTTTGCAGTTCTCTCTTCAATCAGGTACAAGAAACGGGCCGATCAGAAAACAGTTATTTGGATAAGGCTTAATTCCTGATGCTCTTAAGTTCAAATTCTCTCTTCAACAGTCCTCAAGTCGACTGTAAATCAGAAAAATAATTGTCCTTTGTCCCTACTCATGAACAATTCTTGTTAGCTGTCATGAGCTGGGCTTTAATAAGCAGCTCAGGACGAGACCTGAAAAGCCAGAGAGCTCCTTCTTTTGTGAAACCAGTGAACGACTGTCAGTCATGACACTGTCTTTTAAAGAAAGAACGTAGAAACAGGAAACCCCTTGTGAGGAAATATGAGCAAAGCTTATAAAAATCCAAACAAACAGTTCTTCCTCTCCAGATTTTCATATATACGCTACTCTTCTCTATTTTCTATCAATATTATGTTAAAAAATTCCTATATGATAAGACTTACAGCTACAAAAATAATAACCATGAGCATAAAAGAAAAAAATTAGGGTTTTAAACCATAATTTGAAAAGATACGCTCTTCTGGATTTATTAGTACTTTGTAAAGACATTAACATTTTCATACATAATTTATAGAACTCATTCTTTTGTGCACAAAATTGTATTAAATAAATTAAAATCAGAAGGACTCAAGCATGTCATTTAAGGCAAAAATACCAAGTTTCCGTGAGAGAAATGATCAGCAAACCCCAAGGCCCTGTTTCTGTATGGAACCAGTACAGGCAGGGCCGGCCAATGCTCCATTCTCCCATTGACGCCTCCTGGGCTCAATGGGGGTGCAACCTATCTGCTAACGCAGATGAAGGTGGAAGAGTGGATGGAGTCCAATTCATGATGCCGTGATATTTCGATCCCATCAAGGAGGGGAAGGGAGTTTCATTACTGACACACGGTTGCCATGTGCCCAGTCTCTTGCTCCTTACCTGAACCTAAGCGCAGGTTTATGCTTAGGCCAATGGGAGACTTTGTGTGAAAGGCACGAAAGGCACCATAAACTGTTAGGAAAAAGAAAGAAAAGCCTGAAAAAAACACTAGTGAGTTTTAAAATTTTGGATAGGGCTTTAAACTTACAGCTCTATCTGGATAAACTGCAGACATTCAAATAAGTTAATAGGTAAATGAACTGAGATGTGGGAAAAAAAAAACCCTATTTATCCTCATAAAGTTACTGTTGTAACCAGGCTTTAGTATGATCAGACTGCATGTAAAAGAAAACAGGAAAGACTGGATGTGGTGAATCATATGGCAAATCAGTGGTGAGGAAATTGTGCTTCAAGGTGTCTTTCAGGATTTAACAGCTGAAGTTTGCTCCGGCGTGAGCCATGGAACACAGTGTACCATCCGTGGACCCCGTATAACGACACAATATATACACTCTACAGTTTGCATGTACTTTCACATAAGAAGGTTATCATGTAGCATCCAGGAATACTGCCGTAAAGGAAATATGGAAGCAGAAATTACAATGTTTTCATAGTAAACAGGTCAAGTCCTTCACAATACAATCTACAGAATTTAGCCATGGTTAAGACTGGAGTGACGTTTTTGACATACGTAGTAAGTTCCCAGCAGGTCTGGGCCTTGAGAAAACACTGCCCTGAGTGAGCTGGCACTGGCACCCCCGTGCATTCGGTGTTCCTGCTGCTAGAGGGAAGCTGAGCCCAAGCCGGGTTGCCTGCAAGCCTGTGGTGCAGGTGGGGTATCAATCTGGGGGGAGGCAACGCACAGAAACCTTGCTCATCTGGGAAGAGCGAAAGCCTGCGTGGGCTCCGCAAGGGTTCTGCCAGCGGTGAAGCCGTGCTGGGGATGTGCGGACAGGCACTAACACTGCTCCTGCCTCTCAGCAGAAGTGAAGTGTGGGTTAGGATAAGAAAAAAAAGAGGATGTATCAAGCAGGCATTTTTAGGAATGCTCGGGCTGATGTAGGCTTTGAAGTTGAAAACTCAGGTATTTAGGAGGACGGAGTCTGAAGGTCCTTTCTTGGAAAGTTCACAAGAAGTGACTGCAGTTGGGACACAGTGTTGAGCTACAAGAGTGTGACCACTTTCCCCTCTCTCCTCCTCCCCTTCTATTTAAAAAGCAAAGAAACGAAACCAAACAAACAAATAAAACCCCTCTTGCTTTCAGATTTTTTTTCAGTTAAGGGGGTCTTCCCTACTTCTATTTCCATTTCTGGCTGCCTACATGGCTTTTTTGTTTGGAAATAGCACTCAGTATCTGTGACTGACAGGCTGGATTTAAAAAAAAAGTAAATCTTTTGCCTCTTTACCTTCCTTCCTTTATTTTCTGGGAGCATTTCCCTTCCTGCCCATCTAATTCCATGTTCTGTTTTTTTTCTTCATTCATTGTATTGTCTTTCTCTCTACCCTGTTCTATCCTCTTTAGTTTTACTCTCTATTTCAGTTCCTCATTTTCCCTCCTTTCCCAGCCTTGTGAAGGGGCTGTCATGGTATCAGGCTGGGACCGCAAGGAAAATTGCCAAAATTTCCACAGAAGGAAATATCGCTTCTACAGTAAAGGCAGCGCCTGCTTCCTTCCCTCCACCTACTGCTGCCAAAATGTTTCAGATTCGCAAGATAGCTCCTCAATGAGACTGGAAGAAGGAGAGATTCCCCTGACTTTTTAGTGCAGTCACCCAGGTTATCTACTTCTGAAGCCAGCCCCACTCCTTAAAATACAAACTTTTCCTAGCAAAATAATGTTCTCGTTACAAAGAACAATGCGACAGTGGTGTGTCAGGTACTTTTGCCACAGCACTAAAATCACCAAAAATCAGATGGATATTAACGCACTGTTTTCCAGAGTTAAAAATAACTGGTTACTGATGAGCTAATGTGTGTATCTTGCAACTGGCAGCCATTTCTAATCCCGTATTACTGGTTTCCTTGGTACCTTGCTAGCAGCTGTAGATAATTTTTTTTGTTGTAAACATAAACTATCATCTAAATCAGGACATTATATATATATATATTTAATTAGTTCAGAAGCAAAGTGCTTTAAACCTTACGATTTTTACTTCTGCCCTGTAGAAACTGCACTAGGTCTAAATGCTCAAATTTTTGCTTTTTGATACATCCTGCAGCATTAGCTTTGTAGGCAACTCGTCATTTAAACCTACTGTACTACATAAAGGCTGCCGCACTGTAGGTGTAAATTTGAATGTTAGCCATCACTTAAACATGCATTTTCATGCAACTAGGAGACACGGGCTCATTCAACTGCTTCTCAGATTCATCCTGATTTTTGTGATTTTATCTTATTAAAAAGGCTTTCAAAACAGTTCATGCTATGATATGTATGACTAGAGGAATGACCCAGCCAACGAAGAAAGCCCACAAGCTGTTATTTAAGTTTGACGTGGAGCAGATTGAGTGCTTCTGTACCGTCCCCTGGCTTGCAAATGCTTTGAGATGATCTTGATATTCCAGTCCTTAGAGAGTCAGCAGAGAGAGTTGTTTCCACTAATGGGCGCGAGATGGCTTCAGTAGTCTCTGTCCCTGCCTCTGTCTCCAACTCTTCGTCAGTTATAAATAATTTTGACTCCCTCCATTTGGAGTATACATCCTGGCTACCTCTGGAACCACTGGAGTCACTGCCAGCAATCTGTACATTCAGTTCTTCTGATGATTGTATAAGGTTTTGTACAGATAAAGATTTTCCTAGATCCATTTGCACCACAGGTTTAACTGAGAGCAAAGGTTCTCCTTCAGTATCCAGACCTTTTCTCCATGCGAGATCCTTTGTCGCACTGGACTGTGCAACTTGTCCATTGTCCTTTGATGCAACAAGGCAAGCGGTGACATCGGAAATATTTTCCTGTGTGGTTACAGGGATAATATGAACGGGCTCAGGCCTATTGATATGCTTCATTGATGAGAAAGGTGGTATTTGTAATGTTGTTGGAGTTGCTGGCTTAGTTGCCTGGTTTATTTGGTTTGATGTATTATTAATTGTTGCAGGTCCATCGTTTGGCACTTGCGTTGCTTGACTATGCATAGCTGGACTAAAAGCATAGTAAGCCTGAGTGCTAAATTCATTTGGTGTCAGTATAAGCTGTAGGCCTCGAGGCAGATTGGCACTAGCTGATCTGGATACACATCCACTGATTTGTGCAGAATTAGACAAATCTTTGCTGTCTGATGGACTCTGGTAATCAGAAGTCTGCTCACACTCAAAAGCTGGCATTTGAAAGGAAGCCAAAGTGAGCGCGGATGCAGATCCTTTTCGCAAAACTTGTTGATAAATATCTAATAGACAGTCCAGTTTTGACTCAATGGATTGTACCTACAGGAGGAGAGGAAAAGGTTAACATTAATGCCAAACACTAATTTAAAATATTTGGAACCCAAGCAAAGGGAGAATGTGGCTGCTGAAGAGAAAAATGGGACGAGCTTGGTATATGCTCTTGACTCTCGAAAAATAGGGTTGTCAAAAGCCACGTAGATTTTTCATAAGCAAGCTGATAAAAGGGAAAAGCAATTATTAACCTGCAATTTTCCTTCCTTCCTTTTCTGTACATGGAAGACAGTTAAGGTAAATATGATTCATATCAATTTTATTTCAACATGTAAATGAAGCAGATACTAGAAAAAAAATATTTTACCTGTTCAGCCTTTGCGACTGGCAATAAAATACACAAAAGGCATGAACAATAGAGCAAGACAAAGCAACACAGATAATCACTTTACCTGTTTCTCCACCTTGACTACACGCCCTAACATACTGAGGTCATCAGTTGTCTCATTCTCTGCAGGATTTTTTTCTCTACTTCGTTTATCTGCTGTGATTTGTCCTTTCCCAAGAATTTGGTCAACACTGTAAGAGAAATCAAAAGCTGCTGTGATTCCTGAAAACAGTGATGATATGGAAGTGCTTGCTTACCTGTACCTTAAAAATTAAAATCATAGGGCTTCAGAAAAGCACCCAAGAAAGAAGCTAACGCAATTTTATTAAAAAACAAAGAAAAAACCATGAATGCTTTTTGAGCATTTGGAGGTTAGCTCAGAGACAGCTTTTCTTTTCTGTTGACACTAACCGGGGGCCAGACCTCAGCCCTCATCTGGGAGAACCAGGGCTAGACTTGATGAGGGGGCAAGAGGAGGTGATGCTGGGGGGGGGAACAGATGTACCAGGGCCACCCTCTGCTCTCCCGTCCTAACAGCATCGAGTCCTGGGGAAGTTGTCAGTATAAAGCAGGAATCTCAGCCCTGATGCCAGTAATGATACATATGATGCAATGTTGGTTTGGCTTTTTTTTTTTTAAATTATTATTGCTGGGAATCTAGAACATAAAAACTACATAAATGCTACATTACTAGTTGTTCCCAATTTCTTTTATGTGAAAACAGAAAGACTGGGATGGGAGAAAGGCAGTTCTCAATGTCGACCTCATCTGTTTGTCAGCCTCATGACTAAATTCCTTGTTTATGAATGGACTTTACAGATAAAGGATTACATTTTCTGCTGTTCAGATTTCCATTTTCTGGGAACAATTTAGATACATGGGGTTTTGTTTGTTTTTACCCACAATGTAATTTCTGGCTCAGCTGTGTTCACAGAAAGAGAGGCTGGGCTGAAGCATGGGTGGCAATTTGTACCCAAATACAACACAGGAATGTGAAATGCTACCAATATTCATTATGCAGTGAATGACTTAAGATGCTTATGCAGAGCAGAAATTATTCTTTCCTTACCGTGACTGAAGACTCTTAATTCTGCATAACATGTCTAGATGACCTGCTGAATACTGTTCAATGACATCTTTGACATCATATGGACGAAGTGTTTCCTTAAACTTTCTCTTTGCAACATGAAATTTCATAATTCTGTGGGGAAAAAGTGTTTCACCAATTAATCTTCAACAGTTGGGAAATGATACAATATATTCCACTGACAAAATTTGACAGCTAATTTTTAAAGGGAAGATATTTTCAATACAGCTTATGCAAGTGAACTTTTCCTTTTATGAAATTGTTTTCATAAGTACAAATGTGTAAGTACAAATGAGTTGTAGCTATCCCTTTGAATTGTTATTTAAGAGAGATCAGGTAACACTATTTTAAAGAGTGCAGAGCATGTTTAGTTTAACAGTATGCACCTATCTGGCTTTTTTATGCTAGGTGCCTGATATGAAAGGTACTGAAGTATGTGCTTAAACCTGGGATTAGTCCCGCTGACTTGAGTGAGATATCCTGTAAGCTACATTGGTGCTTAAGCTACTTCTGTCCGTGTTAGAGGGAAGATTCCTCTAACAAATCTATTACAGATACATAAATAATAATATTCTTTTTCTGGTGCTCATTTTAAGTTATTTGCTTTCCATTTTGTAAAAAATGTAAATTTATGCACCCAATTAATTTTTCATCAATTTTTATTTTTAATTAACACTCAGGCTTAAGTATTTGTTTTTAATTTATTCTGCTGACTTAAGATCAAACTTTGCAGGCTAAAGAGAAGTTTTCATGTTTGTTCCATACTGAAATCTATGTGAATTATTGTTTAATTAGCATTGGTGATTTTTTTCCTTGAATTTTACTGCAGAACAGTAAGTATCAGATAACAGTAAATATGATGAATGGCATGTTTTTTATGTGAGACTTGCACATGTTTCTGTGATGTTTATGTGACTATGTGATGCCCCCTGAGTAGCTCTTCTTAGAATTAAAAGCTTGATATTAAATTGCAAGTTTTAAATCATAGAAATGACAAATTTGGAAAGTAAATGACAGTGAGCTGATTTTCCAGGTCAGCTGGTAAAACCTGCAGTTCTCCTTGGTTTACATGAGCACTGCAGAAGAGAGAACCATGGGGGAGCTGGGAGAGAAGCCAAGGGATCAGGTGTGTTCTCCGTTCTGGTCTGTGTTACAGAGTTTATGAATCCCCATTAGGGCTAAACTGCTGACATTTGCTGTCTATTGCTATTAAAAAAGCAGAGACAGTAAATTGGTATCCTATTCCAAACCCCAATATTTCATAGAATCATAGAATCATTTGGTTGGAAAAGACCTTTAAGATCATCGAGTCCAACCATACCTGTCCACTACGAAACCATGTCCCTAAGCACCTTGTCTACCTGGCTTTTAAATGCCTCCAGGGATGGGGACTCGACCACCTCCCTGGGCAGCCCATTCCAGTGCCTGAAAGCCCTTTCAGTGAAGAAATTTTTCCTAAGATCCAATCCAAACCTCCCCGGATGCAACTTGAGGCCATTTCCTCTCGTCCTATTGCTTCTTACTTGGGAGAAGAGACCAACCCCCACCTGGCTACAACCTCCTTTCAGGCAGTTGTAGAGGGAGATAAGGTCTCCCTTCAGGCTCCCCTTCTCCAGGCTGAACAACCCCAGCTGCCTCATCCGCTCCTCATCAGACTTGTGCTCCAGACCCCTATTTCCTCCCTATGTATTTAGCAGCTGTAAGACAATGAAAGATAATAAAAGCCAAAACATGGCTCTCACTCAGTGATAAAGATAGACGAGTGGTATTTTAGTGGAATTCAGGAAAATGGTACTTTCTGTAGTTAGGACAGGCATTATGATAAGAGGTATATAGACTCAGATTAATTATATATAGTGATCCTCCACTGTTTTCTGTATTATACATAAATGTTCTTCCAAATAATACCAGTCTTTTCCAGCAGTGCTTAGGTTGTTGATATTTCCCATTCTAGTAACTTCCAGTTAAAACCAAGATTGCTTGTCAGTGGTATAAAGCTTGAAGTATCATAAAATCATAAAATTGTAGAATGGTTTGGGTTGGAAGGGACCTTAAATATCACTTAGTTCCAACCCCCCTACCCTGGGCAGGGACAACTTCCACTAGAGCAGGTTGCTCAAAGCCCCATCCAGCCTGGCCTTGAATGCTTCCAGGGATGGGGCATCCACAACGTCTCTGGGCAACCTGTTCCAGTGCCTTACCACCCTCATAGCAAACAATTTCTTCCTTATTTCTAATCTAAATCTACCTTCTTTTAGCTTCAAGCCATTACCCCTTGTCCTATCACTATATGCCCTTGTAAAAAGTCCCTCTCTAGGTTTCCAGTACCTCAAGGCTCCCAAGGTGAAGACTGAGGCAAAAAAGTCATTGAGTACCTCAGCCTTCTCCATATCTTGGGTGACCAGGTCTCCCGTTTACTTCCAGAGATGGCCCACATTTTTCCTAGTCTTCCTTTTATCACTGGTGCACCTATAAGAGCTTTTCTTGTTGCCCTTGGCATCCCTGGCCAGATTTAATTCTATCAGGGCTTTAGCTTTCCTAACCTCGTCCCTGGCTGCTTGGACAATTCCTCTGCATTCCTTGCAGGCTACCTGTCCTTGCTTCCACCATCTGTAGGCTTCCTTTTTGTGTTTGAGTTTGTCCAGGAGCTCCTTGTTAATCCATGCAGGCCTCATGGCATTATTGCCTGACTTCCTCTTTGTTGGGACGCATCACTCCTGAGTTTGGAGGAGGTGATCCTTGAATATTAACCAAATATGATTCTGATTATAGAAAGTAAAAATGGAAAAGTCCTGTTAGGAGTAGTCCATCATCTTGACAGTTCAGGACTGATCTCCATGCAGTTTTAAATATGTCAGATGATGCACTTTCCTCTTTTCCATTGTCAGGCAGTTCTACAGACTAATGGCTTTTGGCATCTTTTATAATCTGAAAGCCTCTGAAGCTGGGATGCAGATTTTTTTTTCTTTCTTTTAGCTGTCAAATGATGCCAAGATGTTCTGTTCATAATAGCCTGGCAGCACAGATAATCTCCTCAAATCTAGTTCTTTATTCAGGTTACAAAGAATACATGAGGTAGCTGACATACAAGGAAGTATTTTTCTTTTGTCACTATTCTCTCTGTTTTGGTGGTCACAATTTTTTACTTCGTGCAGTTGATAAAGTAAAAATATGAAACTATTAGAAAAGCAGAGACAGAGGATTAATAGCATAATTGAAGACAACTGAATTTAACCACAACTGGGTGATTTTACAAGAGAAGAGATGGAAGACTAATTTTTATTAACAGTCATAGAAGCTTCTTAATCAGTGTGCACAAAAGTCTTCATTACTGCTTTGCAGCTTTGTAACAGGTTTTTTGGTTATCAAGGCAGTTTGTTCATAATGTTCAGAAGTCAAACATGGACTGAAAGCCTGGCGGCTGCATCAGTGAAGTGTAACTGTACTACTTCTGGTTTAGTTATGAGCTCATGTGTTGCCATCTTAATTAATTTCAGCAGGGTTTGGAACAGACCCATATTGCTTACTTCTTTTTGCTTCAAATGTATAAAATTTTACAAAAACTGCAAAAACCCCGAAGTGTTATAAAAGACTGGCATTTTAAAAGCCTGAAAGTTAATTAAGAAACAGAAAACCTGAATTCTTTCTCCAATGAAACCTAGCAACTGCTTTGCAGTTATTAAATTTAGTCAATTCTCCATAGTTATTTACTGCCAATTTTAAAAATTCAATTCTCTTTCTATATCTTGAAGTAACTGTGTACTCAATAGGCTTGACCAACACCCATCCTGAGAGATTATTGCAACTATACAGAGCATATTCAAAAGTGGTAGTTGAACTGTGAACAAAAAAGCCTTTGAGCTTCCTTCATTCATGCTTCTAGAATAAAAAGTTGCCTATTCTGGTGTGTTCCTGTGTGATAAAAACGAAGGGTCTAGTTATGCGGGCACAGGTGGGTGACCTACCCGTACAGAAAAGGGGGAACGAGCACAAAGTGGTTCATACCCCAAGTGTCTCAAGGAAACAGGAGGAATAGAGCAAACCACAGCTCGGTCTGTCTTTTCGAGTTATACCACACGGGGGCAAACAAGACTCATCATAAACTAAACTGGATCGCCACTGGCAATACTGAGCTGCTGGTACTGCCCAAAAAGCAGTAATTGAAAGTAAGGATTAACCCAGAAGAACAAAGCGTGTGGTCCCCATGATTTTTTTTTAAAACATTATTTGTATTTTTAAAGTGCTGTATGCCACGTAGCGAGGTGCTATTTTGAATCTCAAATCTAGCGTGATAGATGATACATGGTTGTAAATGCACTCAGGTCACAAGCATGAAAATTTTCTGGTGAGTGTTAGCCATAGAAAGTAGCCTATTTCAATGAGGTATCCAGAGGAGAGCAGAAAAAGAAATCTTTTTTGTTGAATTAGACCAACATATCAAAGTCCTTTGTCTATAGTTAACGTCTAAACCACAGGTCCCACTAATCTTTACATGGCCTGGTAATTTGTAGAAAATTACAGGTCAAGTACCAACTTTTGTCTTATTGAGCCCTAGTAGCCAGAAGCAGCATCCATTTCATTTAACTCTTGTCAAATGCAGGATCAGCACTGAGTAGAACCACAGTGTTTTCTGAATGCGCAGGTTGCATCTCTTGCCCGGTGTTTGTTGCATTTTATTTTCCATTCATGTTGTCCCTTCCAGTATTAAAAGCTATTCTGCTTTGTCATTAGTGCACTTTACTGAGACTGGCATTGAGTCAGAACATCTCTAATCCTCCGTGCAGCCCTGTCGTACTTGTGTTATTTTTTTAAACCCGTATCTTGTCAGTCTTGTCACTACCTCAGGAAGAAATGGAGCTTCATTCTACTGGGATTCAGGTAAACTCACACATGGTTCCCACCTTAAAGATTAAAAGACAGGTAGGTTGCTTGCTAGATGAGGTGCCCACAGGTTGGTTGCTTGCTTACTACATCAGCAAAGCAGGTCCACAGAGATTTAGTTGCTCTGGTTCCTCTGTCTCTTGACCCTTAGGTTGCCAAATAGCCCTCTTCCTGGTAAACTGCAACGCGCAGAAGAGATCAGGATCCAGGATAGAGAGGCCAACAGGCAAAGGTGGCTGAGAGGCAGTTCCCCTGCCTGTGGTCAATATTGCCTCCTCTCCTGGGTCTTGACCTGGACTAACCCATCCCCTAGGAGCCAGAGACATTGTCTTCTCCCAGGCACAGTGCTGTTGTAGCCAAAGACACATCTAAGAGCCTTGCCTAGATTACAAAGACCATCTGGGCAGAAAATTTACAGTGTGTTGGGATTTAAAAGAAATAGAGGATTCTGAAACACCACCATTAACCAAAGTCATAATGGCTGCTAAATATACATTTCATAGGTGTTGGCAGAAACATTTCAAAGACTGAACATAAATGGTAAATTATGTTTTCCTTCTTTGGCTATTAAATATGTGTGACTATTCAACTATACAGCTTATCAGCTCAAGAATGCTCAAATTTCATTATGTTTAGCTACATTTATTATTATTATTTCATATTAACAACAAATGAAAATATATCTGTGCAATCACTAGAGTTAAAGAGAGAAAGACCTTTTAGGTCAGCAAATTCATCCTCCTGCCATTGCAGTTATTTCCTATTGCATATTTATTTATGCTTCTCAAATCTAATTTTGTGTTCCATAAATAGTAAAATAATTCCATCATTTCCATTGTGGAGAGTATTACAGAATTTAGTGGCTCTTGTTATGAAAAATGATCAGAGACGTCTCAATATATGGAAACAAGGTATCCTTATCTTCTTTTTAGTCTCTTTGATATACATTCATCATTGTGAACTAACAGAGAGAGCTGGAGAATGCAATGGGTTTTGTTAGTCTCCAGGAACTCTGAGGGATATTAATGGCTTTTTGTTCATGACAAGACGAGGGCTGGTTGAGTAGTGCTACAAAACCTGCTGGCACAAAGGCTCAGTGTACCGCTGGCAAGAACTGCTCTGTGCACCGCTCTGATCCCAGACAGAGGAGCAGGACTGATGCTGGCCAGGCCCAAGGCACGCTGTGGAGCACACCACGTTTCACCATGCTACCCAGCTGTTCCCTACTCACCCAACATCGGGCAAATGCATCAAACAGCTTTTCCTTACTTCTCCTCCTGCCTCCCATGCTCTTTCCTGTCAAAGAGTTTGTAGAAAGGGGGGTGGAAGGGGCAGCAGAAGAGATGGGCTGTGGAAGACTCAGCTTGGGGGGCTTTGAGAGCAGGCTGACAGCTTGACATGTTAGCAGACAGGTCTGCCCAGTGCGTCTTCAGTAGGGCTGGTTGGGAGTCCTATTTTTGGAAAGGGCCACTGTGTTAAGAACTTTTTAATGGAAGGACTGCTTTCTCCATCTCCTGTTTTGACCATTTCAAAATGAAAGTTTGTGGGTTGGCTTGTTTAGAATCAAAAATTTGTTTTGAAGAATAAAGTGGTCCTGGGAAAAGTGTAAGTAAGCAAGGTCAAAACTGAGCAGTACACTTTGAAATTACCAAAATGAAAGATTATAAATAAACTAGGTTTTGTCTTTTGCTATTTCAAGGCTGTCCAACCTGAGAGTAACCAGCATATTCCAGGCTCCTTTCACAGAAAAAAACCTCAGTTCTTTCTGATTCCAAAACTGAGAGGCCCTACTTCTGTAAACCCTCAGGCATGAACTAATTTGCCAATTTCTTTTTTTCCCCAAAGCAAAAAGACCATTCGATACATTTTAAAGCGTTTTGTACCCAGCTGTAAGCAGGAAAAAATAATTACTCTCCCTTATTGCAGTTTTTCAAGGTAATGTAGCCAGAATGGATTCAACTGTCTGTGCTTACACTTGGGGTCTTTTGAATAGTGCCTCATGAGCTATTCAAGTACTTTCTGGCTTCATCTCGCCCTGTTTACCGGCAAGAAAGCAAAAACAGCCTCCACTCTCACCCCGTTGCCTTTGCAATTCAAAGCCGTTGCTAAAAACAAACTTCAAAATGAGGCACAAAGTTTCCATATAGGCAGATGTTATCATCTTGAAATTCTACAGTTACTATACAGTGTCTCAGGTCCTTCTTCAGATGTTAGCATAGATCCCAGGGTAGTCAGGTAACAGATACTCTGAATAATCAGAAAGGGGAGTATCAGCTACCTGACAAACTGAATTATCAGTCTCTTGATTTTGAGAGAATAAGGTATAGCATTTAACAGGAGTCTGAAGATCATGGCGTATTGCTGCTTTACAGGTCCCAAATAAAGGTATGTTTCTGGAGCAAAATGTATGTGCTGCTTGCAATCTAGTAAAACACTAACATTTGCAGGGAGAGATGGGAGAGGTTCGTGGCTGATTAATAGCAGTTGGAGACGCAGAATTCTTCTCCTCAACCTCTGTGGTGAAGTGAGTTGGTTTTTGGTAGGCCAAGTTTGCAAAGAAAAAGTTGGGGATGATCTAAAAGGTTGACTCTTATCGGTTAAATAGTGTGTCTGAAACAATCAAACTTGCATCTTTGCTCTTCTTAGAACATTTCTGTGGATGGCACTGTGGAGAAAGTTTGCCAGCTACGTCCTTTGCATTTGATTACGTTCCATTTGAGCTGATAATTACCAAGAGAACCAAGCAAAGATGAAGGTTATGCATTGAACAATCCAGCATTGAACAATCCTTTGAAAACAAGCTCCATGAATTCAGTATTAAAATGTCAAGTTGATCTTAAGGAATTTGGACACTATTAAGAATGAGCTGACCGTTGGTATTGCATGCCAGTACAGTGGCAAGGTGCATACTTGGAAGCTGAGAGTCAACCAATCTGTTTAAAATGCAACATCGCAGACAAGGATCTTTGGCACCAGGGCTAACGGACTATGCTGATTGTTCCTAATTTGAGCATTTTCCATTTGAAGGAATAGGTCTGTCTTGTAGGTGGGTGTCCACTGCGCAGAAAGATTTCTGTCTCCTGCTGAAAT